GACAAGGTCTCCTCTGGAGCAATAAAGCAAAATTGTGGGCATTCAGCCCCGCATTCTGTTGAGTTTTTTTCCCCCTCAAAGGCTGTGTGATACTTAGAAGTCACAGAATCAAATGATCTGGAACCCAGACTTGTGCTGGAAGAAAGGGGAACTTGACTGGAACTCACTTTCGTGATCAGAACCGTGATATTCCTCCTGGTTTGATCATCACCTCATCCAACAAAAGACATAGAACAGAGGCCAGTTGTTATTCTGTGACACTTTTAATCGGCCATCTATTGACCTCAGTAACTTACAAAAAGAGGTTAAGACAGACAACCTGGTGCCCTGGGCAGGAACCTTCATTCTCCATGACCTTGGACAAGGCACATACTCTTCTTGGGTCTTGCCTTCTCCATTTATAAAATGGATAGCACTCAATTGTCCCTTAAATCCCAAATTTTACCATTTAAAGGACAACCGAGTCTTCTCACCTGGGAGGAGCAGAGAGTGTCCCAGGCTCCCTCCAGGTCTGCAACTGCTGGCCTGTCCCCGGGGCTCCGGCACACAGCAGGCAAGGCAAAGGCTTGTAAGCAAGATGCCGTTTACTCCCTAGACGTGGTTCTGCCTCACCCACGGACCAGAGAGACGCCCATGCATGTCATCCCAAGACACGGTGTGGCTCTTAACAGGGAGAGGAGGCAGCACCCAGTAGCTGACAACTGATGGAACATCCCCCTGAGCGCTAAGCACACATCCGTCTTTCATGCTGCGTGTTACCACCAGTCAGCAGGGTGTGTTATAATTACTGTGTTAATTTCATGTTGGCAGAAAGACACTGTCAGACAGTGGCCTTCAAGGGAAACTCTGGCTTTGGGGGCCGCTGGACTCTGTACTTCTGGCTCAAGCTCCCTGGCACGTAGGGGGCACATCTTGGTTTCCCTACACTGTACTCCGTGTGGTACTTACTCTACCGCTTGAGAGACGCCAGACTCGCTTCCCAAGAGTCCGTGCCTCTCAGGATGCTTTGAGCCAGCGCTGAAGGGCAGCTCCACGGTGGGCAAAGCTGTCGTACGAAGGATGGATGCTAGGATGGTATTTAGACGAGGCCACTTTTAGTCTTGCTGTCACATCTCATTAGTTACTCAGATCTAGTGAAAGAATTATACAGAAGACTCAAGCCTACGGGCTTGAAATGTGTACCTTATTTGACTTGTTTTGAATATTAACTCTCTACTTCCAAGAATTACTTGAACTGATGCATATTGGTGAAAGAGAATTTATTTTGTATTGTGCTTTTTTTTTTTGCCAATGTTCTGTAGTTTGCTCATGTTAACAGCAATAAGGTTCTCATATCAAATAGTTCTCCTTTTATAAGTTGAAAACCATGAGGCTAAAGGTCTACAGAAAAGTGGAATTGAAATATTAAAATGTCCACACCACCAGTAGAGATGATCCAGACTTTCACAGTTTGACTTATGAAATATGATCAGAAATATTTAATTCTGGGCCATAACTAGAAAATTACAGTTCCAGAAAATCTAACTTTCAACCCCCCCAACAAACCCCAAAATTAACTAATAAAGTTTGTAAAAATTTTGTCCCCTGATAAGTGTGATAAACAAATACTACTTAATAAAACAAGAGAATAGAAAGTATAGAGAAGAGTAATTATGAATCCGTCAAATCAGACCGTTTGCACCCAGGCTATGTTCATAAAACTCGGGTTGTAAACCCCTAGGAAATTATCATCCACCGTTGATCATGCTTGGTCTTTTTCCTAATGTATTTTTCCCCCTTGAAAGTTGCATGTGGCTCATCTGTTTTTTTTAATATAAATCTAAAATATGGTATTTACCCTGGAGGTGCATGTGGTCAAGTGATCGGGAAAAATATTCTCAGTGCTGAGCACTCCTTGCCCCGTTTTAAAGGAAACCCTGAATGTAGTGAAGGTGCGCTAACTGGGAACTCTATGAAGGGGTTAAAACATTGTCTATTACAAGTCGGGTGGCCATTATAAATGTTACCCAAATAAAAGCCAGAAACAGGAAGCCAAAAAGCAGGTCCCTATGGCAGGCATGTCTTAAATGATATCATTTGTCAAGTTTCCAGCATCTTGTGGTGGTGAACACACACAAAAAGAAGGTCTGTGTCGCACTGAGGACATTACACCCTCATTAGCTGGAATGTTCCTTAAGTGCATAATGCAAGATTTTCACTTTAATAAGCAGCAGCTCCGTGTCATCACACTTTCATTATATAAACACTGAATGTAATACTAATGACCATTTATAGAGGCTCTGTCCTGCTCCGGAGAAACTCCATTCAGATGAAATCATAGAGTAACAGTTTATAGAACACATCACACAAAACTTCTGGGTCATCTCTTTGCGAACTAGTCTCCGACCTTTTTCCTTTAACGCTGAAACCGATCAACAGCAGAAGTCATCGTCAAAAGGACCTGAAATGACACAGTTGGTGTTTCTTGCATGCAGAACAAATCTGAAGGCTGGGCATTTGGCGTTTTAGAAGTCACAGTGGAATGAGAAGGCATAGTTGGGACTCCCTTGTTTCTTGGCATGCTGACCGGAGTCCAGGCTCTCCATCTGCCCAGCCTGAGCCCTCAAGGCTGATGTGCAGAGAAGGCCACCCTGAGAACTGAGAAATAATTCATCCACCGTGATCGTTCAGCCCCAGCCCCGTCTCTAAAACAAAGGCTGACAATTGCCCTGAATTATGGATGTACTTTTTGTGATATGCAATACAGTTCAGGAGAAAGGTAGTGAGAGCCTTCCACCACTTCGCCTCCCATTAGAGGCTGGTCTTGAACGATAATCCCAGAAGATGAAACTGGTGCTGAACTATGACCCTCAATTTACAAATCATTTTTCAGAAAAATAAAAAAAGAAGTTTCACCATCTTTTTGGCATTATCTGAATGGGCGGAATCTTCCATGCCTGTTTCCTGAGGGTAAATGAAAACCGCGTGCACTGGAGTTTCTTAGTCTGGGGAAAGACAGAGCACAAGGTTTTCAGATTATATTTTATTTTAAACTTGGGTGTTTGAAATTTTTTTAAACATAGCTGAATTTAGTATATGCTTTCAAAACATCATAAATTTCTATTCCGTAGCTTAAGGGATCCATCAGTGAAAATGTTGGTCTTTCATCTTTATTACTCTCCCATTAAAATGAAAGAAACCGGGACGCACTTCAGTTTAGAAGAAGCAATTTCGTTGGCAATGTCCTTCCTACTCCAGTCCTGACAGAGGGAGAAAGCACATGATTGCCTGGACTTCAGCCATCTATCTGCATGGGAAGCGGATAGGCCCATCAGACAGAGGTAGGTGAGACTCACTAATACTCTTTGATGAGGGGATGTGATTATGCCACTCCTCCGTTCCCGTGCAGCCCTGCTCACAAAACCGGTCCCCTCCCCTTTGTTTGTTTGTGTGTCTACACCCGGCAGAGTCTCCTTCCGTTTTGCTACAGCTGTTAGGTCTGAAAGGGACAGATTAATAACGGAGCATCACACTGGACCAGCTTCTCTGGTAGCCTGCACCCGTCACCCTTCGCTGTAATGAGGACACAAAGAGCCTCCCATCAGGCTGCAACCCTTCTTCATAACTCAGAAGCGTCACAGTGGCAACAGCTTCCAGTGCTATTTGTCTCCAGTGCAGTTGTGACACTTCGGCATGATCCATAATTTGGTGGCTACTTACCGTGACATTTCCCTTCAGTGCAGCCATAACATTCAGTGAAGCCATTATTTGGTCCCATTTACCATATAAATTGTATTGTTGTGCATGCATGCTAGCAGCTACATTAGGTACCTGAAAATGAGTAAATCTTGTAAAAGAGATACTAACAGCTCTTCAGCAGTAGGATTTTCTTGCTCCACAGATGGAAGGAAAGAAACATTAAATATGGTCACCACGTTTCCTTGGAGCATCTTTAATTGCATGTATACTTATTTGGCGCGTTAGAGACACTGCAACCCAAGGCTTTGAAAAATAATCTGGTGGGCTCTGCCTTCATTAGAAAGGCACCCTGGGATGTCCGAGTTAATGATGAGAGCTGGAACAGCCTTTGGATGAGCCAGAGGTTAGGAGGCAGGCGGATTAGCTGCGGGCTTGATTCGGAGGGGGAGGGCGCAGGACTTGGTCCTTTCTTGTGTGTGACATCAGGCGGTAGTGACAAGAAGCGCCCCATTCCACCAGAACATGTGAAGTGAAACGGGAACATGAGGCCAGTGGCTGCTCTCCGGCTTCTGCCATCAGAGGTAAACCACATCTTCTGTGTCCAAAGCCTCTAACGTGAAGCAAACGTGTGACTATTTCGGAACACGGCGGTCCCTCCTTGAAGGGCGCTGTTAACGAATCTCTCGCGGGATGCCGTTTCCCTTGTGTGACCCATGTTTTGGTATGTAGACCTTCACTGTGGATGGCACACACACTTTCCCCTTTTCTGTGCATGCATTAAGTCTTTCAAGTCCCCTGAATCTCTGTAGTTTCCCTTCCCAAAACCTGATTTCTGTCTATGTAAGTTTTCAATACTAACTTGCTTAAGGCAAGAGAAATTTTCCACCCCGCATGTGACTCGCCAGAAGGACTGCACAAAAGCCGCTGTAAGAGACCTGTCTTTAAAAGAGGCCTGTGCTCACCTAATCATTTTTCCCCCTAATAATCTAACACAATCAAAGTCTGGGGAGAATTCCTCCAAATTTCTATTTCAGTAGTTGGCCAGTGATTTATAGAAAGAGAGAGGCCATTTCCTGAGACTAGGGGCTCTCAAAAATGGCTGACTTTGGTGCGCGCTCTCATTTGTTAACAGCTTATTAGCATAAGAATAAACTCTCCCAAAGCCAAGAACTCCTGAACCGTTTTCAAGACCGATTTTAAAAATCTCATCAAGCTGAAGACATACTGATTTGATCAGATCTTGCATCAGGAATTAATTTAGGTCCCTGGAACAATAAAATCTGGAAAGAGACGGTCCACGAGTAAAGAACTGAATGCAAAGGTTTTACCTCTGAGCCACTGAGGGAAGTTTTATTAGCACAGTTTTTTTTTTTCCCCGCAAGGGAGGGGCCAAAAAAAAGAAGTAAAGAAAAGAGAAAGAGAAAAATTTCATTAAAACTTTTGTTTTAAGGCATATTATCTCCATTACCAAGTAAAAATAATTGATCTGAGTAATTCTGAGGCATAAAGTGTCCTTTTTTTTCTCCTTTTATTTATGCCATTGTTTTACAGCTTACTGTTGACAGCGTGAGGTAGCTCAACTACAATTTTCCCTGTGTTTTTCCTCATGTACATATAATCGACGGCCCGGAATACAGACTCCAGGCCAGTGAACCTGCCCTCTGCAGACAGGTCTCCAAGGTCCACCTCACAAACCAGCTCCCCGCTCGTGTACATCTTAAGCAAGTGATCCATGGCGGCTCGATACTCAGAAAGGTAATGGTTCAAGAAGAAGCCCCGGGCGCTGGCGGATTTCTTGAGCAGTTTGGCTGGTAATGCTCCTGCTTTCACAGGCGAAAGGCCAGTCGGAGTCTGGTAGCCAGACACGAACCCAATGACTATCAGGCGCCCTTTGGTAGCCAAGGCATCTACAGCCAAGTCAAACATGGCGCCCCCGACGGACTCGTACACCACGTCGACACCTTCGGGGTACTCCTGCTTCAGGACGGCCCCGACGTGCTCGGCGTGATAGTTGATGGGCCGATCACAGCCAACAGATTTCAGAAACGCGGCCTTTTCATCAGAAGAGCAGGTTCCAATGACGTGGCACTTGGCCTTCTTCGCAAGCTGGACAGCGAACTGGCCGGTCCCCCCCGCGGCTGCAGTCACCAGGACTCTACCTCCTTCCGACAGTTCTCCGAGCTCTTTCAGGCTGATGTAGGCGGTGGTACCACTCACCAGGAGGGTGAGATACTCGGGTTTTGCAGACGGCACTGCAGTGGCGACACTGGCTGGCACCACTGTGTACTCAGCAAAAGAGCCAGGGGCCATGTAGGCCACAGTTTGGCCAACTGTGTGTGTGGTGCTGGCGGAGAGGCCCAAGGCCACCACCTCTCCTATACCTTCGAAACCCGCGTCAAAGGGGGGCTTGACGGAAGGGTCATATCTGCCCGCTGAATAGTTGATGTCGGATGCGTTCACACCAACAAATCTAGGAGAAAACAAAACCCAAATACGTTAAGATGTTCTTTTCCTCAAGGCCTTAGATTCCGCTCAGAAAAACTCCTCTAATTCCGGTGTCTGTGGAAGGTGGCTCAGCTATATAGCCTGATAGAATTAGGAAAAAATACAAATAAATAAACAGTCCGGATATTCGGTTGGAAAAAAGAAATCAGACAAGTATGAGTGCAACAGAGATTTTTTATCAGAGTTTTGGTATATTTTATTCCTTCATTAGTTTAGGAACAATTTCGTATCACTTTAAACAGCACGTTATTTATCTCACACGCCATTTATCCTCCTCCCTTTTCTTTCAGAAGAGAAAAAAAGACAGGTCAGGAGGCCCTCTGATACACGAACTTCACTGGAGCTACGAGTTGGAAATTAATTGGCCTCTTAACAAAGACGTTAAAAACAACAGTGGGATAAAATATATTCAAAGAGGTAGACGCCTATTGATTCTGGCAACAATTTCACACTTCAGATAATAATAGTAACGACAATGATATTATTAAAGATTGATGTGATGTGCAAGGTCACTGGCTGTTCCATGTTACATGCCAGGGTTGTTTCAAACAACGTGAGCCAGGCTGCAGCAAATTTTCTTTCTGATGTAACTATGTCCAGCGTGAAAATATGCATTTTGATTAATTGAACAAAAATTGTCTCATAAGAGGAGCAAGATTTTCATGAAACATCCAACATTTTACAGTCCTTCACAGATGAAAAGGAAAGCAAATCGACACTATATTTTTCCCCAACAAGAAGCAGAGACGTGCCTGATTAATACCAGATGATTATTTTCACTTTGGTATCCAGAGTCAATTTAATTGCGAGGCTGGTATTTTTACCAGCTTGTTTTCATCTCTGTATACCTCGTAACAAAAATATCCCGATACATAAGGAAAAAAGCTGTCTTCTAAGAATGTCAGGAGGTGGCTGAGACACATGATGGAGGACCCTAAAACTGTCATTTTCCACCTTTAGTGAAATGAAAAGATGGTGGGGTCTGGTGGCAGGAGGAGGAAAGCTGGTAAGTAGGTCACTTTAAAGTAATTTATTTTTAATTTAATTTAATAAACCCAGAACTGCCCCATGCAAGGATCTACTTAATACTTAGCACTTACAAATGCCCCCCTATGATTGTGCCCGAATATCTACAACATTGAAAGCTCTCTGCTTATTGTGGGAATAATAAAGCAGGAAACTCTTTCTCTCGGGTCCGTCCAGCTGCTTTGAGAAGTTGGCATGCACACGGCCTCAGCAACACGCCACAGAATTCCACACCGGTACACCATGCACCGTAAGGAGAAGCGAGAATGATTTCTGCCGGTTTCTCATTTGGCATTAATATCAAGATGCCTACATTCTATTTGGGGGGGGGGGGTAAGGGCTGCTATCTTTCCTTTCAATTTGCTTAATTTTCAAGGCCTCGTCTTTTGAAAAAAAAGGGCCAGCTTGCTGAGAGCAGGCTTGTGGACTTCACAGAAGGCAGGCAGGGCAGAGCCCAGCAGGAGCGTCTCCCATGCCCGCTGGAAAGCCGACTCCAGGAAGGCGTCCTAGGGGTGGGAGTGTCGGGGGCGGGGGTTGCTTTAGCGGTGGGGGCCCGGGCGGATCGCCAGCCAGCTCGGGTCTCTCCTTCCAGGATTGGATTAACCCTTCCCATGGCCCTCGCCCCTCCCGTCTTGTCCCCGCTGGCTGCTGGCGCTTCTGCCTTTCCCGACTGCAGAGGCCCTGCCCTTGAGGGGAGCCCCCGCCTTGGACTCGGAGGGACGCGCCAGTGGCGGCCGGCCCCTCGGGTTCCCCCCCTCCACACCTCGGAACGGGCGCGCCCTGGGGGGCCTGCGAGCGGGAAAGCTGCTGGAGGAAAACGCAAACCCGCTCCCCCCCCCCCGCCCAGGGCTGCGGCTGCCACTTCCCCGGGAGAGGCGACAGGACCCAGCAGGGCGCACGCCCGCGAGACAAGCGGAGGGGAGCGGGCACACGCGCCAGAGGGGGCAGCAAGGGCCTGCGTGTGTGCGTGTGTGTCCGGGGTGGGGGGCGCTCTGCTGGGAGCTAAGGTGGCTGCAACCCACCAGCGGGAGCTTGAGTTTACCACGAGGGCTTTGCTTAAAAAACCAAACCCAACATTGCGGTTGAGCCCCGGCAATCGCTGGAGCGGTGGCAGGAGACCCTCAGTGCCCGCTGCGCGCCGCGCCCACGTCTCCAACCCCCGGGGCGCCCTCGGTCCGCCCCGGCCAGCCTGCAGGGCGCCAGAAACCGGCGCTGCTGGGACCGTCTCCCCTCGGAAGTGCCTGGCCGGCCTGTGCCGTTCCGCGGCCTCTCCATCGCCACGACCCAGAGGCGCGG